ATGAACAAGAACAAGACGACTTTGAGTTTGCTCTACTAGTGCATGCAAACGATGTTGTGGATCTCGAGGCGATAATGGACAATAAACACCACCAGCCATCTCAATTCCCATTATACCAATTACCTATAGAATATGAAAATATCAATCACGCTAAACCTCAGCCTCGAAAAAATAACTTACCATTGACAGACTTCGCTCTACACATTGACAAATGATTTCACCTGGAGTGATAAGATATTCATGAACAAGAGCTAAAGATAACACTTGAACATAATACAGAAGTTCACAATATGTCAATGATTGTTCATCAAGTTCAACAGCTAGTTTTTGTGGATGTTTCATTACTTGATATACAAATTCATGATGAATACAAGTGAGAGGAGATGAAAATGTTACTTGTGTATTATTCATTGATTGCATTAGATACTGTTCATTTGATAATATTAATGATAACTCATAGATTGGTTTGTTTAAATGACTCTCGATAGTTGATGCGATTAATTGATTTGAGATGAAATGAAATCGTTGTGAAATCTTCTCCACTGTCTCTCTATTGAATAAGTCAAGTGATGCATTGATTGTGCATGATAGTTGATTCATATTCATATCATGATAAATAGAAAGAGAGAAGTCGGATGCACTTAGTATCCCATCTTCATTAATATTGAATGAGAAAGATGCTGGGATCATTTGAGAATCACCAATCATAATGGCATCATTGTCATTGTTACTCTTGTATGATAGAAATTCCAGAGATGTGTCGAGAAACGCATGTTTTGAAATATGGGGATGTTGATCGAGAATATGTCGAAGTGGAAAATATGAGTATTTCATACTATTTATTGTTATCTCTTGAACATGTTCAAGTAACTGATGAAAACCCCAGTGAGGATCTAACTGACATCGTAATGGAATGACATTCTCAAACAGTCCAATGATTGATTTGAATTCATCTCTATATCGATTATTATTGATGTTCATAGCGACACATAGATTTGTTTGTCCATTGGTTAATTTAAATAGAAAGATGAAATATATAGCAAATGTGACGTGTTCAAGTGATGTATTAGTTGATGATGCGTGAGTAAGAAAGTCATGTGAGAGATCTTGACTAAAATCAAAAGAAATCGATGTTCCACTACCAGTTCGATGTTCATTTGAGAGACGATATCGATCATATGGTAATGACAAAGGTTGATCAAGTTTACAATCATGAAGAGCATCAAGCCAAAACATGCTTGCACCAGTCATTGACATTTGTTGTTCA